TATATATATATAGTGACATTCATAACCAAGATGAACCAGTCACAATTAAACCCACTTCATTCCGCTCCCTTGAGATTAAGTTTGAAGTTTATTCTTCTAAAAAAACCAATTCCTTGCTTCTCAAGAAGATTACTGTCTACGTCCTGTGGTGTGAAAGACCGTACCGACAAAGACTAGGATGCGAAATCCGTGCTACCGTGTCTAACACATTTTCACACCAATTAGACATCATAGGAATGAACTCTTCTGTTGCCTTACAAGGCCTTCAGAGTACGTTTCTTCTGTGAGTTAACCTGTTCTGGGATGAAATTACGGCTGATATATGCTTTACTGACAATGAGACCGTTTTGGACGGTTAGTCTCCTCTTGGTGTACCGTCAACAGTGGCAATGTCGACGGGATCGTAGTTTCTGCCGAGTCATCAGTCGAATCCGTCCGTGAAATCGTCCAGGTTGCCAGGCATAGGTGAGAGGAATAATCCAGATAAAACTCCATGCTCCATACCTTCAGGTATGGGCATTTAATCCATTGATTTATTGATTGTCGGGCATTGTCGGTATGCACACGCGTGCCTGACAGTTGAAATCTATAACAAGGTCGCTCTCCAGTAGGTGCACAGTGTGCTTCCAACCGTTACATTCGCGAACCCCAGGTAAGCGTGCAAATATCAAATAAAACGTTATCAATCATAGTGAGAAAAGAAGAGATATACTGGACGCACATAAGCGGTGAAACCACCATTGGGTGTCAAATCAACCCCTTTGTCAGACTGAATGGTACGAATGACTATTTGGAACAGTAACGTACAGTTTCGTCAGTTGGAGTATATGTAAAACAATCAAATCAGACATATTCAAGCATGCCAGCCAGTCATACTACTGATTGGAACGCACCCAGTCACACAAATCAAGGCAAACGCAGCGTGAATATCGATCGCTTCTGTGCTCAAACTGGCAACCGGAAGCGCGAAACCAGTAAAGCCTCTGAAACTTTTGATATCAGTGATGCATCAGAGAATGTTGAGTTGCTGTCAACTTAATGCTCAATTTCGTGGACGTCCCATGATCGATTATGGTAAAATTCGACCAATGAATAGTCCAGTAATTTCGCTTGTCACGTAGACAATGTGTAGGACAGCACACTTTAATTTGGGACGCATCGCGTTTGTTTTGCAATATCTTCCTCATTCATTCTACTAGGATCATGGACAGAGTGAAATAGGTAGTCAAATTTGGCGTACTCTTGCCTGGATTCCTCTGAGAATTGTGATTTTTTTGCGTGAAATTTTGTGCAGTTTTTCTTTTGCAACATATTTTTCAGTGAAATTAATGGTATGGCTTCCGTAGTACGGATCGGATTGTCCGTATCAGATAAAGCACAGTGTCTAGTCCAATTTTCTGTGGACTGAGCGACATATGTACCCAGCTGCATGTGTATTTGTTAGGACGTCATGAATAGGAGCTTGCAAACAAAACAAAACTCGATGTTCGGAAGAAGGAGACTTCTGGTGGATAATAAAATAATATAATAATTGTTCAGCTGTAGCACCCTTCCGGTGTCTAGCTGCTGTGCCACCCGAAGGAAGCACGAGGGCTTGGATACTGCCAGGTTGCCAAAGCCTAGATAGAGAAAGTCGAGAGGCGTAGGCCGGGTTCGAACCACGGACGGGTTCGAACAAGGACCTTGCGGTCAGTAAATTCGCGCTCTAACCACTTGAACCCTCTCTTCTGAGGGATGCCGTATGTTGTCTCTGGAAGAATCAAATAACAAAATGTCATCCGTAAACAAGAGCAGTTTCCAGATGTGTCATTATCTGTTCTTGGTTGTTGATCAGGTGGCTACTGATCTGTTCGCCGAGCTTGGCATTTGATTTGCAAACGTTTCGTCACTATACGAGGAGACATCAGCAGGGCGAACCCAGCTCTGCACAACAACCAATAAACTCACCCGAGCTACCAATATTTCAACAAATTACCAACTACCTAATGGATTCTATTTGGAGAATGATGCACATGTTTTTCAATTCTGAAGATGACTCAATTGTCTACCTCAAATTTTATACGGGACAGACTGGTGGGCACATTCAGGTGCATAGAAACACCACTTAGTGACTCGCAACTCAGAATCTGTTTTCAAATGAGGTTAGTTTGCTAATTTGGTAAAATGTGTTTTCAAATAGAAAAAACGTTGACCTAAGCTCTGGGACTATGCCTAACCGCTGATCCCCAAGTAGGGCAAAGCCGGTCTTCGGCCGTCGAAGTATTACCCATGGAAATGCACATATTATTCACAAAATCTGGATTATTCGTGTACGCTTTCACTGTTAGCGCGGTCAGGATTTCACATCTGTTGCGGGAAATCTTCGTAGATGATGTGATTTGAAGAGCTGCAATGCAATGCTATTGAGTCTCTTGCAAATTCAGATGTGTTCGCAAATGAGTGGACTCGGCTAATTTGGTGTAGAATTTGCTTTCATGTGGACGTGACCTCTACGTCGGTGTTTATCTGATGGGTCTCAAATGGCAAAAATTGTCCTTAAGCGGTTCATGAATTGCGTCATTATTGTTTCTGCTCAACAGCTTTTGGGTGAGATGAGATATTTCGCTCAAGGCAAACGCAGCGTGAATATCGATCGCTTCTGTGCTCAAACTGGCAACCGGAAGCGCGAAACCTCTGAAACTTTTGATATCAGTGATGCATCAGAGAATGTTGAGTTGCTGTCAACTTAATGCTCAATTTCGTGGACGTCCCATGATCGATTATGGTAAAATTCGACCAATGAATAGTCCAGTAATTTCGCTTGTCACGTAGACAATGTGTAGGACAGCACACTTTAATTTGGGACGCATCGCGTTTGTTTTGCAATATCTTCCTCATTCATTCTACTAGGATCATGGACAGAGTGAAATAGGTAGTCAAATTTGGCGTACTCTTGCCTGGATTCCTCTGAGAATTGTGATTTTTTTGCGTGAAATTTTGTGCAGTTTTTCTTTTGCAACATACTTTTCAGTGAAATTAATGGTATGGCTTCCGGAGTACGGATCGGATTGTTTGTCNTATCAGATAAAGCCCAGTGACCTTTTGTGTCTAGTTCTATGGGAAGCTGATCTACTGTCTAGTCCAGGTAGATTTTCTGTGGACTGAGCGGCATATGTACCCAGCTGCATGTGTATTTGTTAGGACGTCATGAATAGGAGCTTGCAAACAAATGCAAACTCGATGTTCGGAAGAAGGAGACTTCTGGTGGATAATAAAATAATATAATAATTGTTCAGCTGTAGCACCCTTCCGGTGTCTAGCTGCTGTGCCACCCGAAGGAAGCACGAGGGCTTGGATACTGCCAGGTTGCCAAAGCCTAGATAGAGAAAGTCGAGAGGCGTAGGCCGGGTTCGAACCACGGACCTTGCGGTCAGTAAATTCGCGCTCTAACCACTTGAACCCTCTCTTCTGAGGGATGCCGTATGTTGTCTCTGGATGAATCAAATAACAAAATGTCATCCGTAAACAAGAGCAGTTTCCAGATGTGTCATTATCTGTTCTTGGTTGTTGATCAGGTGGCTACTGATCTGTTCGCCGAGCTTGGCATTTGATTTGCAAACGTTTCGTCACTATACGAGGAGACATCAGCAGGGCGAACCCAGCTCTGCACAACAACCAATAAACTCACCCGAGCTACCAATATTTTAACATATTTATCTGTTCTTGTCGTGAGTATGTCCACTAATGCTGGTCATACGGCATTCCACCTCAGCCATTGGTCTATAGCCATGATCTTGGTAGTAAATTCGCTTCAATGGAACAATAAGTTCTTTGGGGACTGCAGCGCGGAAATGGTGCCTTAATAAATAAAATCCAAGGGACACAATGTTTCCACAGAGACTACGCTCTCTGTTGAAGCATATAGAATGGACTGTGTTCTTCAAAATATTTTTGCTAATTCTGATGGTAAGAGGTACAGCAAACTTAGTGACCAATTTGACAGGTTTGTAGTACAATGTATTTACGAACTTTCCGGGGTTCGTGAAGCCGGTGCGTTTGAGTACCAGCAGGTTTCCGGAGCATTTGGTTGAAAATGGGGCAGAAATACGTCTCACACAACAGTGGAATGTAACCGTTTTCTCCTAGTGGTGGCCGGTATATCACTTCGAAAGCTGAATACACCCGTTTTCAAAATCTACAAGGAGAGTTGCCAGTTCATTTTCAAGCATGATATAAAAATGTGGGATCATTTGGTGCCCCACCAGGAGAACGCAGCTTGAGAAGGGATACACAATAAAGGTCAAACAGGAGACCATCAATAAACATGGTGGAAATGTACAAAAGCTGTCCTCGACGGTGGAAAAGTTCACAAATGAACTGTCTCTTTAACTCTCTGTTATCGCAATCACTGCTGTTGAACTGCGGTTTTACTATCAGGGGGATCCTCACTTGGCTTACCTTGGCCTAATCATTTTTTCAGTCAAAGGTGGACATCATCGACTGTGGAACTTCGCGATTCAACAATGATGCTTCGCTGCCGTAGGTATGAGATTATTCGTAAATGTGCAATTCATGGTTGTAATTGAGCTGGAACGATTGGGGTTTTCGATCAAAGCCTTTGGCTTAGAGGCATGACAACTCGGCGGCGGTGTTTGGCGGGAAATATAAGTGCATTACTATTTTTATAGAACAAGACGCCACACACATTCCCGACCCCAACCCAGATGACCAGGAAAGCGTGTTTGTCAGACCTATAACTATGGACCGTCCTGATATGAGAGGCTGTCAGTTTCGCCTGGACATCCCTAGGTATGGATGAATGGGTCGTGGAGACACACAAACCACACTAAGGTCCAGTCTCTGAGCGACAGAAGGATGAAAACACCGAACTACAGAAGGATGAAACCCCGAACTAAGCATGTGCATCAAAGACATACACATGTATGTCTTTGGGAGTCCGACAGTAATGAAGCCCGAGTATCGGGCAAAGCAACACACGAGGACGCGTTATTTATTGATTTCACATTTTTCAAAGCTTTTATTGATGCTAGGATCTCTAAAATCTTTCATTGCGACTGTATAGCGTGAAACTAGCCTATCGTAATGACTTGGTGGCCTGTGTATAGCCTTACACATTCGTGCATTCTTATGCCTTAGTCGTAGGTACGTAAGGATAGTAAACCTCTGGAGTCCAGAATTAAAAATGTTTCCTTACATGCGCGAACTCTGGTTTACAAACACGCGGTGACAACAACTTTCCACAGTATGGACGTAATACCTCACCCATAAGGTTGCTGAAAATTCGTCGGCGGCCCACGACCTGTTTCACCCTTCTGGGGGCTAATCAGGTAGGTGCAGTTCCCGAGGTTCCGTCAAACTTATGTTCTACTTGAGTCTGAATTTCACGAAATTAGCGAAATACACTCATTTGCAAACAAATTTGGTTTTGCTAGAGACTCACCTGGAACCCAGCTGAATCTCTCGTTTATGATGTTCCCAAGCAATTGAATGTGTTGCCTCATGTTTCAGTTGGCCCAATATTTGAGGTATGGTGATACGTTTATGGACGTAATACACTACTCATCAGGATGCTGAAAATTCTTCGACAGCCCACACGACCGGTTTCACCATTCTTTGGACTGATCAGGTAGGCGCTTCATCACCAATGATATCAGTTGTACGCCTCGTTTATATTACTTTTCAACTGATTGTATAATTCAAAGGCGGGGCACCTTTATAGATATCGAAGTGTTCTTCGTTAAAGCCCTTGGACGGCCATCACTAGTTTCGTCCTTGTTTAACTCATCGGCTAGGCCTAGTTTTCGAGGTTCCCTCAACCCTCTTCACTGCTTGGGCAGAACAGGGTACCTAAGTCTACCTTACACCCATCATCAAATAAATCTAGGTTTCGTTTTCGAAAAAGTTTGGTGACAATCGGTAGATTTATTGCTGGGCAACGTTTCGCTTTTGACACAAAAGCTTCGTCAGGCCAAGTGACTAGGTTCCGAGGTTGATCGAGATTTAAGGCGGAAGGAGAACCAATCAGCTAAGTCAAGCTAAATCTCTGTTGGGTGTCGGCCGAGGGATTTTAGTGTGTTAGAGTGGTTGAACAAGTGTTGGGTCGGTGGGGAAACCTACATGTGTTTGGGTCCTGCCTAGGGTCTAGTTCTTCTGGTTCGGTTCATTTGATGGTTCCTCTTGAACTTCATTTGAACCTTCTGTTAGTCTGTGTGGGTGAGCTAGTGCTAGGAAAGTTGTGTAGGTTTCAGTTAGGGGGTAAGGTTGCTAGAAGCTCACGAACTTGGCCTACTGGAGGAGCTCCAAGAAAGGCAAATCCCATAGCGGCCCCTCAAAGTTTTCGGCAAAATTTTGGGTATTTGTGGTTGCGAAAAGATCACAACAGTGTCCCATCGTCGTCTGATGTGCATTAATTCGACCGATCAGTAAATTCAATGGCTTCGGAAATCAACCCAGCCCCAAGTTCCCATCCGGGATGTCTTGGTTTCCTAAACATACACCAAAGCAACGGTCGCAGGAGTCGCATTATCTGTTGATATCCTGAGGAGCAGGTGCACCAATACCGCGTGAGTGCTATTCGTTTTCTTGATCTACAACTGAATATCATAATAAAGCGACATCGAGTGTCTCCACTGCAGACAGATTCTAAGTGATCAAGTCGATCGAAGTTTCCATTGTGAGGTTTGTATTTATGTTAGTCTCACATCTGCTACAAACGTACAGGTAACCTGATAAATATACCTTTTCGGACCAAATTGTTTTAAATGCCAGCACACCAACAGGTTGATTTCACTTCAGCTAACATGGGTCATTGGTCAGCGTGCCAAAATGCGATTTGAAGGCAAACCCCCTATCCAGTGGGTTCTTCACAGCGAAAAGAAGACTCATATTTGGATGAAGTATCAATCTTCTTCTGTCGGGAATTTTACGCTATGTCGAACGTTGTGCTTTGTCTAACAGTCCTTCTGCAGTGCGAGACCCTTTGGAAAGGTGTTGCAGCAATCGTTCAGCTGTAGCACCCTTTCGGTTGCCATGCCAAACGAAGGGAACAGGAGGGCTGGGATACTACCAGGTTGCCCAGGACTAAACAGGAAAGTTGAGAGGCAGAGGTCGGGTTCGAACCACAGACATTCCGGTCAGTAAATTCGCGCTCTAACCACTTGGTCCATCTAGCCAACAGCAAACAAGAATATGATCAGTAAGGAGGGTAGAAAATTCAAACGGAAGCTTCAATTGAACACACGTACTAACGAAAGATCTGTATATTAATATCTGTATTATTAATATCTGTAAATATTTATTTTAAAAATGCGATGCTTGACCTAACAGATATTCACCGATTATTTTAACTGGTTACTCTAGGAATTTCCAACATTCAACTTCCTTCCAAACCAATCTTATGACGAGCTTCTACCACGGGACATTTTAGCCACCTAGCCGTTCACAAACGGTACAACTTTCCAGCCAACTAATCCATCAATAGTACTTCGACCACAGCTTCACTGCCGCTATTTCTCATCCTGGTTTTCATATTATGAGCACTGGGAACACAGTGTGGGGGATGGCTTGACACATCATCGTCGCTCTATTCATTAGTTATGCCGGCTATGTGCAGACTGCTATTGCTGACGGATTTTGACGACTAACTACGGCCAACCAATTAGTGACCGGTCGTATTGACATTTAGTAGTTTCGTTTCTCAGGTTTTATGACCTGTGATTTGACACGTGATTCTCCGCGCTTACTTAGTCACCACTCGGTTTACTATGTACAAAACCACGGGATCGACTTGCCACCGTCCCTGTCAACAGAGGTTTCTTCTGTTTAGATTCTCTGGATTCATTTCTTAGCATAAAACCGGTAGAGGCGTCTGTGACTGGGAAAATGAAATCTAGAGGATACTGTGAGCTGCGTTTGACTCTTCTTGCTAACTTCAACATGCAAGTCTCAAAACAGCAGGTTGTACGCAACATGCACTATGTTGGCACGTGGCTTCAAAATCCGGTGTTCAGGTTGATTCACGTTGCAACCAGAGTCAATCAACCATGGACAAGTGTGTATGAGTTGTAGGATGCACCGAGCTGTAACCGAAGGCATACTTTTCAGACGCATGACCATCTGTAGATGACCAAGACACAACTGTTGACCGTAGCATGCATTTGAACCGGCACTGCACGTTCAACCATGCTAGTAGTTTAATACAGCGAGAAAGAGCCTGAACGGAAACACGAATCAGTGCCAAACTCCTGCTGCCGTTCATGTGATCATTTAAGTACATTCGCTTGAAAAGTACATTGGAATAAACAAGGAGTGGGTGTGGAGAGCAGTCAGGTAAACGAATAGTAGTCGTCTCGGCCAGTTCCATACTGTTTGACATACGACTTTTGAACGGTTTGGTGATATCCGATGAATCACTCTGAACCATTCCGCCTATTTGATCCGGTGAGTGACGATCACAGTCGCCGTTTAAGTACAGATTCACCACATACAATACGAAGCCTAAGTGATTGTGGACACAAAGGCCTCCTAGCTGATCCCAAACTCGAAGATAAGCCACTCCACTCAGACAGCAGAATGAGCTGCGTCTCATCTGGCTACTGTTGAGCAGAAGGTGACCTACAAGGGCAAAAGCGTAAAGGTGCGTGTGGAAAGATGCACTCCGAACCTGATGCTCGATACTCAAACTTGGAGCACAATCTGATGTGATAAAAGTTGTTTGATACCTGGTGTCAACGCTGTAATATTAGTCTCATCATTCATTCTCATGTCTTTTAATCTTCAAAGTTTAGACGTTTGCCTCCCACCTTTTAACAAGTTGAGTAGTTCGACTGGATTAGCAGGGGCCGTGAATCGCTCCATAAGATGACGAGTCACCTTAAGTCTAGTTCTTTTCAGGAGTTCCTGTTTCCTCTGGTACTACCATGTTTAAATCCTCGAAGTGAAGACAATCATAAAGCACTTCTGAAGATTGTCTAGTTCTTCAGGAGTTCCTGTTTCTTCTGGTACTACCATGTTTAAATCCTCGAAGTGAAGACAATCATAAAGCACTTCTGAAGATTCCTGATCTTCATGAAGGCATATTTTCCGCTGTCAACAGCTTTTGTCCGAGGGTAGTGTACTGCTTCGACGCTACTGAAATGAATTCAGTAGTTTTCTGCAACGCAAAGCGGACTGATGCTTGTCCTCTTATCATACAATTTTTAAAAGGCTTCCTCCTGTGATTCTGATATACCCACACTTTGTTTGGCTAACAAGATGTAAATGTGCAATGTTTGTGAGCTCCGGAAATCCCAAATGTGATTACACCAAGTTTACTTGAGATAACTAATTCCGCCCATTTGTTTTCCTGCCTCCAGTCGATTCCATAGTTTTGTGAGTTGTTACCACAATCGCCATGGTGCACGTAGTCTTGTATATCGACCAAATTAAGTCAACTCAAGTTAGGGAGAGTCAACCAGTAACGTGGCGTAGTTCGATGGCATTGCTAGTGAAAACAGGTGTCCAGTGCGAATTTACAGTTTCATATCCAGGACAGCGACACTCGAGGTCATTGGTGTAAAGTTCCCTGTTTGGAATTGAGGCAACTATTTGAATAATCAAAACGCCCTTCATTTATTCTTCCATATTTTTTTATTGGAGACAGGTGCAGCGGAAATGTCCGCGCAAAAAACCGTCCCAACTAGATAAAGGCCTAAAGAACATCTTCACCCAATCCATTATTCCTCCAGAGCTGCTTTGCCAAGTAATCAAACAAAACAAAAACCTAGCAACATACGGACTAAGGTGTGTGGATGACCAGTCGTCCAGTGCTTTGACCACTGTTACCTTTCTGTGTGGTATACATTCTACTTATGCCAGATGGCCCTGTTCGCCCTTTTATTCCAAAATCATGAATTACAAAATAAGCAGAGGGTTGTCGCTTTTATCCATTCGTCTATAACAAACAGCAAGATGTGTATTACGTCAGATTAGGTTAAACAAAACACTGTCCCACACTTTGTCCAAAAACTAGAGTTCTCACCCACGAAGACTAATGTTCCATTGCCATTCTACACGGGAAAAAAACTTGACCTGAACTCGTTTATACGACTGTCCTACCCTTTGTAAGCTCAAAAACTTAGTTACTAAGGTAACTGACATTGCAATGGCATTGTAATCGCTCTTCAGCTGTTTGTTCCCAAGGTGGGACGCCCTCCGTTCGGTTTGATAATCCCCCCTCAGCCGTACCGGTGGCCTGAACGGGTGGAGGCGGTACAGGGACCAACGAAAATCAGCAGACAAAATAGGGTCATAAATTTATTGACTGGTTGTCACTTTTCACCATCTTCTCTTGGAGAGATCTGTCTTAGATGGCCTTAACCATAACTTTTATACCATATTCAAAAATAGGTGTGCATCATACATTTACCTGCTTTATTATTGGTGGAGCTGTTCCTGACCTTTAACACATCGTTTCAAGCTTCGATCATGCACGTTTGGAAAGTCACCAGAAAGGATGGCCATT